TTAATGTGTAAAGCAAAAACAATTAGCAGAAGCATATATAATATGATGTAAGATGTAGTATGTTAGGATAAAGTCGTAAGGATCTTCCATAGTAGTTGCGAAAGTATCAATCCTTCTTAAGATTCGCGGGTTGAAAAAATTTATATGAAAATAAGGTTTAAACATTTTTTTAACCCGGACATGTTCCACTGATGGACTTATGTACACATATAAGATATATTTTCGAGACATAGTCATTACTGATATTAACCTTTCTTTATGTTCATTTTGAAGTCACATATAGCGATGGTAATTCGAAGAAATATTTTGGAGATTCTAACAGATTTGCATATGTTACTGATCTACAAGATGCTTTACCGACTTATAATTCATTTCATATGTATCATGTATATGTTGATCATATAATGTGACTTATTTAAAATGTACCAGTACATGCAAATTAATAGACGTATGAATATTCCTGTACCGAACGAAGGAAGTATAAATATTCCACGTAATCTTGCTATGATAAAATTGAAAACGACTGAGCCATGATTCAAATGGCGGTGTTTTTTTAACTCGGTTTTTTTTAACTCGGAAGCGTATTTATATGTCGCAAGGACGCATAGCTTTTCATATAATGTTCACAAGTATCCATCTTTTTGCGTTTGTCGTGCATTGCTCGCCTTAATAGTATTCCCACCATGAAGCTCTGAAATTGAAAACGAAATCATATTATGTTAAAACTGTACTGAAACTGAACACTGAAGACTCTGCGAATAGAATACCGCTGTATCGCGGTTTAGTAAGTAAGACTTGTTTAGGATCACTACTCATGTATGTTTCTCAATCGTCCACTTTCGGAGTTGAGTTGCACAAAGAAACAGAAATCAATAGAAGAGATTGACGGAATCTTTAGTTTGTGAAATCAGTGAACAATAAAATAAAACGTTAACGCACATAGTTGTACTTAGTCGCAAAAATTCATTAGCTGATTCGAAAAAAGTTCACGCACCTCTAAGACTGATACATTTCTTCCACTATCACCGATATATCCATACAGTGATTTCTATCGGAAACGTGTCACTGCATCAAATTTCGTTTTCAAAGAACGTAGTAGTTTGTCTAGAAATTCGTAATCTAGTTGTCAACCGTTGCAGTTCATCAACTATTGATCAAAAATCGCTGAACTGATCTTACCATAAGAAAACGAAGAACGAGAAGGAGAGAAACGATGGAGATTCTTGGGATAAAGTTCGCGCCGCTCAACGTTCCATTGAAGCGAAGATTGGAAACGCTTGCAGTTGGAGCGTACTTCTCAATTTTATTTTTTATAATCCTCACAGGATATTTCGGAAAATATGTTATCGCAATATATTGCATCATTTATACGAAGATTCTGCGCTACATCGTGTTACTCTACGTCATCTGGATGTACTATGACAATGACACGCACGACGTCACTGGTAAAAGGTAGTTGTAATTAATTGAGAAAATCGCATATGCTGTTAAAAACTCAGACATCTGCTATCATTCTCGTACGAATAATTCAAGCGTTCGACAGGAACACGGAATGTTCGGAACAATTTGAATGTGCCTTGTCAGAAAGATAAATATAGTTTTCACGTCAGATGTGATTTTTATTATTTCTTACAAATTTTATACATAGTTGCGCTTTCATTCGTACCTGAACGTTTCACTTAACTTACCCTTAATTCCACAACAAAACGTACATGAAGTCTTGGTGAACGTCGCCATCGCTTTTTGAAATATTACCAAAGGTTTAGAACGTGTTAAGTTTTGGAAATGATAAATTCCTGGAAATATATTGCTCGTATATTATCTTTTTGTAATAGGGAATAGTTAATTAGTTGCACTTACAGTTCAAAGTGTTGCAATTATAATACATGTGTTTCTCAGAATATCAAATGACATTCGTTTAAGCGAGATTACAGTTTATTCATAATTCGTATTGCATTCTACAGAGTATTTAAATTTAAAATAACATGCAGTTTACTCGTAAAGTTCATGAATCCACCGGTACGTTTTTGCGTAAATTTAACTTCGAATATTTCGTGTGCAAACCAGAATTTAACAATGTAACTTGTGTGAACTACCAAATCTTCGGCAATACGTTAGATTTTACTTAATCACGTTCGCAGGGCACAATTCAAACAGTGGTTTAGAACGTGTGCAATGAACCGGTACATCTGCAGCTACTTTCCTATAAAACTAGTGAAAACCACCGATCTGGACCCGAACAAATCGTATTTATTTTGCAATTTTCCACATGGGATAGTATCTACAGGAGTTTGCGTTGCCTTCGGTACAGATGCCGCCGGTTATAGTGAAATATTCCCGGGTATCGAAATACGTGTAGTCATATTGGATCGACATTTCAAGACACCGATGTTCAGAGAGTACTGTCGCATCACTTGTACGTACCATTTGGAAATTGTTGTCCAATCATCCTGTAAAAAATATATTCATACACATGTATACTATAACACTATAATTATTAATTGTTATTTGCTTTATTAATATGTAGAATTGATGCTTTGAATACGGTTTTGCTCATAACGCGATCATATATATTTCGTGATCTATAATTATTATGTAGATTTTTTGCTAAAACAATGCAGTATAATTTTAATTTAATATGATTATACTGCATTGTTTTAGTATATTATTTAGTTTATTATATTATCACTGCACTGATTGTATTATTTTATCAGTGGAGTGATAATATAATGTAGAACTACACAGATACGTATGTAAATATCACTTTTATTTACA